AATGTACCATAGAAGTATTTTTTTCTCTCAAGTCAAATACGATTTTATAGAATATTTATTTGAAACCCTTTCAAATTCTAATCAGGCCGTAGATACTTCTATAGACCTCGAAATGCAGCCATATATTCGCTCTCCCAGAGCTTCGCGGGATTCGGCGGGTCTTCATCGGATCCTCGGTGTAATTCCGCGGACCGACGTTTTCTCTTCATCCTCGAATCTTCTGCGAAAAACCGAACGGCTCGGGGACTTCACGTAATTACTGCAATCGGTCGGGTGACTTCGTCGACTTCACATTTCAGAGACGAGGAGATCTCGTGTCACGCGATCCTGATGTGCTAGCAAAAAAAAAATGAATAAAGCCATCGCGTCGTTTCCATCCAAATAGTTCTCGACGGTGCTGCGATTCCTCACTTGCGATTGAAAGTAAATTTTAAAAAGTCTACAGAAATGTGTGGGTTGAAACGGATTAACTCTTTCCTTCTCTTCGAAAGTTTGGCAGTGCAATGAAATTCAAGAGAAAGTCGTGAAGCGCGTAGTACAGGTTTCATATTTAGACTGGACTTTTAGCAATCGGGCTGTGCGTAGCGTTGGCGAAGGAAATGAGCAATAAGTAGGATTGCTCTAGCTCGATACTGGTGAATTGTATGGGCTATAAACTTATCATTTAGGCCGTAAGCACGGCGCGGAGAGCTCCGATGGGAAACTCCATATTTCCTGATTATTGGGGTACCGTCAGGAAGAAGGAAAACAAACCCACGAGTATATATGCTATATATAGGCTTATGTGCTTTCTCATCGATCGGGCAGAGACACGGCGAGGAGATTCGCGAGTCCCGCGGCGATTTCGGATGGAGTTTCCGCGCGATCGCCGACGGCGGATTTCGATGGAATTTCGTTCGACGGAAGCGACCGCATCGCATGGACGCGTGGGTGCATCCCGCTCGGTCCGCAGAGACCGCGTGAATGAGCCTCAGACGCGAACCGAACGCCGGCCGGGCTTCCGCCTCCGTCGGCAGCAGACGACAGACTGAGGGCAAGGCGGGAAGGCATTCCGAGGGAGAACACGGACGCGGCAAGGAGGTGACGCAACAGGTAGGGGGAAAACGCGGAGAACGGAGGGAAAACTCGTGGCAACCGTGTTTGGAATCTCGCGCTGCTGTACCTCCTCTGCTAGAGACATCTACCGACCACTAGTTCAGGTCTACATAGATGACACAAAAACCTCGTTTTTCGATCGAGTCCAGCAGGTTTTCATTTGACTGCGAAAGTATTTTTTAAATACGAAAATGGCGATAAGAAGACGCTCAGGCTGCATCGGCTGCGTCAAGAGAAAAAAATCCAGAATTGAAAAGAAAATCTCTGTTGCATGCATCAAGCTCTATCTACCGCACGATGAAGGAAGATTCGTATTCTGGTTTCTGCTGATCCATAGAAAATTGTGGACCCAGCACAAACTGTGTGTGGAAATCTTTTCCCTCCGCAAGCAGTTACATTTTCAGAGGCATTTCCCCCTTTTTAGGCATCATTTTTTAATTAATTGTAAATGTGTTACCCCCATCCCCCATGGATTCAGAGTTCATATCTTTCTTTAATTCATGGACAAACATTTTTTTGTTGTTAGCCTAGGGTTAAGAAGGGCTTTTACGAGGGGCGTCGAGAAAGCGTCCGGCCCGAGGCCCTTCCACTCGCAACACGCCATTCTTCATTTTCTCACGGGAACGCAGACGTCTTTGATGGTGATGAAATCTCTCCGTACCTGGGGAAGATAGACAATCTTTCTTCTTTTTTTTTCCAGTGTACGACATAAAAAAATTGAGATTCGAGTGGTTTAGCTTTCTACTGAGTCTTCCCTCAAATATCTCTCGCGGGATCGACTCATCCAAGGAGAGGAATATTTCCACCTTTAGCCTCGATTTCTATCTCCTTTCGACGGACCCCTCGACGACGCCGAAAAAAAACGCATGAAAATTCGATCCCCGTCGAACACGAAGTTTCGCCAGTCACCCTCAAAGACATCTGTCTTCCCCGTGGGAAAAAGGAAGAACGGTGCATTAAAGCTGGAAGTTCCTCGAGCCCGAAACTTTTCGAACTCTCCTCGCACATAATGGCACTCTCTTTTTTTGGGCACCAACTCAGCGCTTAGGAACTGCCAGAGCATGAGGATCTTCTTCCCAATGCAGAAATCCCTTGATCGTATTCAAACCGTCGCTCGAGAGCAGGAAGTATTCGTCCAGACCCACCAGCTCAAGGAAGCCTCCTTTGTAGAAACCAAATGAGCTTAGAGCAATGTACTTCCTCACATCATCCTGTTTCAAAAGAGCAAGAAGAAATTATATTTCCCTTCTTCATTAAGAAAAACTTCACATTCTATTTTCAAAATTTAAAAAGCACATACATTAATTTGTATTGGAGCCTGTGAAATGGATATTACCCCATACGAAACATGAAAAAGGCGATAGGATTGAGAGTGGTGGTAGGTGTGTGTGTGTGTGGGGGGGGGACTTGGAAATCGCCACTATGAGAATTTTCTGTATCCGCCACTGATTCTCAGAAAAATGGATTCCATGCAAAGGTCAAACGGTGGGAGCACATATGCTAGATGCGAAGAACTAAACGCTATGCATTTCATGTTCTCGTGAAGAGACTGGAAACTGGACCCAGTCGGTGCAAACCTTTTTCTTTTGTTGCTTCCCAGAGAAGAAATTCCTCAGTATTTTATTATGAAAATAAGGATTTCCCGGCGCACAACAAGGTGACACAAATGCTGCGTTTCATCCACCTCAGCGAAGTGAGCCCGGTGACTCGCCAACTCGAAAAAACCACCTGAATGGTCGCGACGAGGTCAGTTGACCGATCGGAAGGCTTTTTCTAATTACCAAGTCAAGGTGCACCGAGTGGAAGACGGCGCAGCATAAGACATTGGAAATGGCAAGGATCGTGTATAGACGTAGATATACGTAGATAATCGAACTTGTTTTGAATCTAGTCACGTATATGAATGCGAAAAAGGCTGAAGGGGTTAATCCCCTCTTCCATCCGTTCGTTAAATCTACATGAACCCTAACCCAACGCCTTCTTCGAGCAAGTTAGCACTGATGCTTTCCCGTCTGGTTTCGCATATCACTAGAACATTGGCCTGGGCCTTTCCTTCCGCTCGTAGGTGCCACCAATGGTTTAAGAGTGCAATCCGGAATTATGACCTGAGCATTGGATCCATCCATTCAGGAACGGGAAAAGGAATGAGCATGGCATTCTTTTCCGAGGACAATCAGGTAGGGCTCACACACGATGAAGAGGCAAGGAAGCAGACGACGCGGAAGAGCACTGATTTCATAACAGGGTAATGGCGTCGCCCGCTGGTGTTACCACACGCGAGATTGCTAGCCTACCCTCGCGATGCTGAATGGGAGGGAGGTTTACAAGTTTGGGATAAGAATGGAGGGCTAACATAGCCTAAACATGTGGTAGGGAATACCGAGTGCAGGTGAAACGTGAATACTGATTTATTCTAATATCCTCATATGATGTTAGTAGTGATTGTAGAAATGATTTATGCACCCTTGACTTTAGCATAACTTTCAATAAAAATCGCGTACACTCCTTCCCATAAAACTGCAATCAATGTATGGAATCTGAGGTGCTACTCTGCAATGGATTCTTCCTGACAATAGAAAACAACACGTTCTTTTCTCAAACCATCTCTCGCCTTCTTTAGCTACTATATCTGGAGTCCTGCAAGGATTCATACTTTCTGTTGTTCTGTTTTTAAATGCTTTACCTCTCTCAGCCCCATCCTGCTCTTACCTCCATGCTGACGATGCTTTTGTGCCCTCAATCAGGTCAACCGTAGACAAGGATTTTCTACAATAAGCATACATTCTTACTCAGATCAGATTTTACATCTGACTGACCTTTAACCTCACTACGCAATTAAGCAAATCAGTAATAACCGAGTATAACTATTCCCAGCACTTTATCATGGAGTATGCATGTAGACAATCTATGCCAAAAATGTGAAAAAATGTATGGCCATCATCTGCCTTGTGGTATATAACTATAGTTCTGATATTATATTGATACTCTACTAATTAATTAGGCTCCATCTTGATTAATATCCATCTGTTTGATCCCCTTTCAGTTGCTTTGACAGTTCCAAAATGTAAATAATAATAGAAAGTAACATAGCATCTTTTGAAAGTTAGCAAGAGAGCTGCTACTCCATATTCTGCTCATTTGCAAACATTACACCAAATTTCCCTTAAAAATCACAGTCTCTATTTTTGTGTTATAAATCTTTATTCTCATGAGCCTGCTCACTTAGTTTTAAAATACTTTTTTTAGCCATAGCAGACATGAGCTACAGAAATCCTGGAAATCTCAACTTAGAGCAATATTCCACTCATTAGTATATGAGCAAATTCCTTTTTTCCTGGCAATATGAGACTTTGAACTGAATATCTGATCAATAAAAAGTTGCAGTTGTTGAGCACAATCCTCTTAAAGTTATTAATTTCTTGAAGCAGTCTTAGTCCTTAAAGTAATTAATCTTCTTTAAATTTTATTGGCATCTTCATCCTTTATTGTTTTTTCTTCTTGGTGGTCTTGTTTTTGTCTTACCTTCTCCCCTTTGTTGTGTACTTCTCTATTTCTGTTTTTGTTTTCTTTCATTTCTCCCTTGTTTGTTCCATAACCCTTTATCTTTGTGTCTCTTTTTAATCCCTCCCCACCATAGCTTTCATATTGTGAATCAGTTTGTACATGCCAAATAAAGTTGAATTGACCTGAAATATCCTTCAGAAATTATCTGCTTTATTGTGCTTCTTCTAAATCTGCAAAAAAGTTTTGCGTATATATTTATTTTTAAGTACCAACTTATGGCATCAAATGAAAGTGAATCAGATAGTGTAACTCTAGGCTAGGCCTTGGCTATGTTATTCATAGTCAATAAATAGACCTTATTCACATACCTGGCATAACAGGAGAATGTTGTGGATTCTTGTTTGGCAGGCCTGATGTTTGTGTTCAGGTAATACTGATAGGCCATGCTCAGTGTAAGCCCTAGGCCTGAGCCTGTACAAGAGCCTTGCCACTAGGGGGTAATTCAAGTCTGGCTTTCAGGCTTGGGTCAGTTTCACTGACAAAGTCTACTTGAGGAGTCTTGAAAGCTGGATCAGACGTTCAATCTATTTCCCTGCAAGCAACCTTATTTGGAGCTTGAGTTACTGCAGACTCTGCTCTTCTGGAGGTAGCCCTACATTTGCTTCTGAACTCCACTTGTTCCAAGAAAATGCTGGTGAAAGAATATCGGATCCCCTTACCCCTTACTGTTGATGAGTACAGAATAGCTCAACTTTACATGATCGCAGTAAGTTGTTTGTTCTGTTTGTTCATCTCCAATTCCATTAACTCTTTTTGGGGTTTCCTGAATATTTCTTATACCCTGTTTCCATTTTCTACTTATAGAAGAAAAGTAGATTGGCTTCCACGGGTGTAGGGAGTGGAGTAGAGATTCTTGTCAATGAACCATACACTGATGGGCCTGGAGGCAGCGGCCAGTACACACACAAGCTTTACCATATTGGCTCACATTTGCCTGGTGAGTATGCAGAGGTGCTGAGATTATGCTCCTGCATCAACTATGATGGTATGCAAATGAATCACAGTGTTTTTCACTTGAATCAGCCAATTTTTCATACAACTGAAACACTCCTGTGTTAGTTAAGTGAAAAATGCTGTAGTACTATCTTTAGTATGGACTCCTTAATCCTGATGGCAATTCTTTCATGAGAGCCTCACACTTATTTGCATGGACCATGAAAATAAAATGCATAATGTTAAACATGGTGTGAGTTCATTTGGAAATCATTGCAATAGGGGTTTCAAAATATTAAAAGCATGTGGGGCAGGCTTGGCTGAACCATTATTTATGATCAACAGTCACCTTTTGATCTTGTCCATTTTTCACAGGTTGGCTGAAAAGCTTGCTGCCACGTTCAGCTCTCACTGTAGAAGAAGAGGCATGGAATGCCTATCCCTACACAAAGACTCGATATAAGTGCCCTTTTGTGGAGCGCTTTGTCATGGAACTTGAGACTCGCTACTTTAATGACAATGGGTTTCAAGACAATGTGTTTGGTCTCTCATCAAAGGAGCTCCAAGAACGTGAAGTTGGTAAGAAATTTGTTTTGTTTTTACTATGATGAGGTGGAGTTACCACTGGTATGACACAGGCCTACTAACCTCCTTTTGCAGATTTCATTGATATTGTGAAGGATCAGCTGGCTAGCTCAGACTACATCCAAGAGGAGGATCCACGTTATTACATCTCAAAGACAACAGGACGTGGTCCTCTCAGTGAGAACTGGATTGAAGAGTATTGGAATGCATGTCGAGGGAAGAAGACACCTTTGGCAGATGGGAAAGCCATAATGTGTGCATATAAGCTCTGCCGAGTGGAGTTCCGCTACTGGGGCATGCAAAGCAAGATTGAACGTTTCATCCATGACATTGGTATGTTGGCTCAGGCCCTAATTTGATTGCATTTTCTAAGAGTATAATAAGAGTAGTATGCTAGAAATAAACCATGCTCTTTCTTGCAGCTCTTCGGAAGACAATGGTGCCAGCTCACAAGCAGGCCTGGTCCTGGCAGGATGAGTGGTATGGAAAGACAATAGAAGAAATCCGTCTCTTTGAGCAAGAAACACAGGAGATATTGGCTTCCAAGATGGCAGGTGCAAATGAAGGTGACTCTCCTCAATCGCCTGATAAAGAATTTCCACCCCCAATCCCAGAAGCCAAGGAAACATTGTCTCTTGGTATGCATTCCTCTCAAAAGCAAGAAAGTGTGAGCGCTTTGACAACTGGTACAACCATGAATGATGGGAGGCAAAAGAACTACTCTCGAGGGGGTGCTGCATCCATTGATAAAAGCTTGTCCTCTACTTCTGCTGGTGAGTTCATCCTTTTTTGTCATTATGTATCACCACACCTGGATATAGCTGATGTTGATCTTAACCTGCTCAGACCCAAGGAAAATGAAAGCCAGAGGATATGGCATATATACATGCTACTTGGGTTTGAAGAAGTTAAGGTGCAGCTTATTAAATGGAAGGCCTTTCATACTCCTTTTATCAGTTCATTACTATCTGCCGTATCAGCCGTTTTATTTCAGATGATATACAGGTTTCACAATTGCTTTTGTGCACTGACATACTTAAGTTTCTCAATTGAAGTTCTGTGCTTTTTTGTTTATCTTCAAGATCTGTGTAAGCTCCTCCTAGGCATTATTGTGGGAGCCAATTGATGATCCCCAAATGGAAAAGGAGACTTAACTCTTAAAGCAGTCTATGTGTATTTTCCCAATATAGCATACTAAATCATATAAAAAATCAGGCATGGTTAGAGAGGATTTCCTTGCTTGCTGGCAACGGCCTGTGTGTGCTAGACTCCAAAAAAAACTGCAACCATTATGGCCAGAGAAGTGACTTGAAAATCAAAAGTTCAGTGGACCTTCGTTTTTTTTTTATGTGCTCAGAAGCTGGGGAAGCAAGATGAAGGAAATATGTACACAATCAATGAATTGACCATAAGTACAAAAATGGGGTACCTGGAGACTGGCTAAGCTCTGATGCAAAGTCAAATATTCCTCAGTGATCATTCTTCAAGTATTAAATTAAGCTAATTCTTAGCTTTAATTTTTGCATTTTTATATTTTATAAAATTAAAAGAAATTGCATATTCATTTTTTTGTGTGCCAAACTCAGTCATAGGACAGCTTATGGTTGTAGAAAATGTCATTATATTTTTAGTATCTCTAAGAAATTAATTTTGAAAACCTGTTGTGGGGATTCCCTTTAGTAAAATCATGATTCAATGTCCTTGAAAATGCTTCAGTAAATCCCACAGGTGCTGTATTTTGTTTTCGCCCTTGAGTCTGTTGACTTTTTTTTAAATTATAGTTCTGCCTGTTGATTTTGCTTCATGATTCTTGAATTTTATCACTGAATTAACCTGTGCATTCCCTGACTAAACTGAACCACTCTTTTGCTGACTACAAGGTCATGGTCAATTGAAAACCTACTATATCCTCTTGTCATTGATGTTATTGTACCCATTCAGAAAGAAGCTAAACACCTATTCAATACCTATTATTTACTCAGATGCACTGGATAGCTGAGGATTTTTTGAGAATACAAACTATCCAGATTTGGATGCTTCTAACATTCATCTTTAGGAGTTAACAGCAACTGGAGCTCTGCTCCATAAACCAATAGAAACGAGATAAAGTAGATAAATCTATGGCACATCCAGTCTGTTTCATAAAGGTATTTATTTCCTTCAGCATTATTGTCATAGTTTCATTACTTGTTAATAGGATTATTTAATCAATATGAAGACTGATGATTAAATTCCTAATGTTTAAATATATATTGTTGCAACTGAAGTTTTGGGACATACAGAAATAGAACAAAGAACTCATGAGTCTTCAACCCAACTACTTTGAAAGCATAATTCATCTATCAAGGGGTCTCTTTTACGTCTTTCACTCAAGGAAGACTTTGGCCCATTCTTTCAGCGAGGAGTAACTTGGACATCCAGCAGAGAGTGTGTGCTCAGATGGAGAGTATTGCACAGGATTCTGATGGACCTGATAGCAGTGATGAGTTCTATGATGCCTCAGGTAACACTGATGGCTAACACATCATTCGATTGCTTCTCCTTGGATGGATGCATGGCTTCATAGAAGTGCATCTTGATTTTTGGTTAATCTTTTTATTGTTCTTGTCCTGTCATTGCATTTGCACAATGTCATCTAGTCATGATGCTCACCAGGTTGTGATCCATAGTGGTATTCACTAGCCAGTGGCACACCCAAGATTTCACCCCCTATTTCCACTGGTGGTTTTTCAAGGGGTATGGTTAAGGTGGAGTGAAGATTAGTACCCTCCAAAACTGAAAATGAATGGAAACAAAATATCCTGGGTGCACCACTTTCTCTAGTCATTACTTGATGGCATGGTATTATATACATTACAAGCATCTTGAAAGTCATGACCACTTCAATGTTTTGGGGGAAATTATTTAGGAATGTATGTTTTATTGCCAAATATAACGAGCAGATTCTTGTATGTTGTTTGGAGCAGTTCTAAAGATGCTCTTGCTGCCATAACTATGCTGTTCAGCTAAGGAAGTCGAAATGATATTACATTTGTTATTGTTTATGAATGAGGGGGAGATTTGTTCTAGTTCGCAAGAAAATGCTTTGAAAGGTTTGAGCTTGTATCAAATGATAATCCACATTTTCATTGCTTCATGTAGACTTATTGTCTCCCTTGGTGGTGTTCATGTGCAAGAAGTTCAGAAGTGACCAAATTATGTGAAAGTGCAATTCAGGAATTCAGGAACTGTATTTTTGGCAGCATTGATGACAATCTATTGATGCTCAAGTATTTTCTGTGTGTTCCACTATTCTTGTACACAGCATTATATGACTACAGTGACGTATCACATATCATTGTGCAATATGGAATAAATTAATCCCAGATATCTACCCAAAGCACTCCTGTATGATTTGACACTGTAAATCTTTGATCAGGTCAAAATATAAAGTTATACACATACTGCCATAAAGCAAGCTCTCGAAAAAGCTAAGTATAAAGTTTCATGAAAATAAGATAATTGGGATGCTCCCTTCTTTCAACAAAAAAGAGCCTGGTGACTTATTGACATGAGGTTGTCATTGTTTTACCACCTCAAAGCTACCTTTTGCTACAAAAGGTAGCTACAAGCGCTTAATCTGTTCTCCCTCTTCCCTACCCCCAGGTCTCTAATGCCTTTTTCATTGATTTTGTCTTTCATCCAATTTGAAACAAATGCCAAAAAATCGTAGATATTTGAGCATTGTGCTGGTGCATTGGCTAATTCCAAGGTTCAAGGGAATAAAAATTTATCTGAAAAGCTTTTAATTGTATGAAATCATATTCATACCTGCATGCTTTGGTTTTTTTTTTTTATTTTGCTTGTGTGTCATGGTAGGGAGCAAGTTTGGCTTCAATTAGAACTTTTCCATTGGTTTTTTCTTCCAATGGGTGAGTCTATTCCTTGCTTATCTTAGTTGCACGTTGATGTCTGTTTTTTATTTTGCATTTGTCTTTTTTTGAAGCATCCTCTTCCCTGTACAGGGTACCAATAATAAATGCACCCCTTGGCCAGCAGATATATGATGAATGATAGGATTGCAGGTTACCTATTATATTAGCCCATTTGATGCAACTTCTTTTAAGATCAAGTCAATAACCAAAGTCACTAAAATCTGAAACATGGAAAAGAAGCACAAGAAAATGAGATGCTTGAATGGGGTAACTAGAATCCTGTGGTTTGTCACATCTCTGCTGACCAGAGTGGTGAATATAATATTGGCACCCTGCACTTTAAGTTTGAAGTTTTTCTGAATTATTGTTCTCATGTAAATTTTATTCTTGGCAGAGGAGTTCAGCGAAACTAGAAGCCTGACCAAGTGGAGTTCCATGGAACTCATCCCAGAAGATGAGGAAGACTCCCCACGGATACAAGGTGACATGTACCAACGTCACTCTGCTTGCCTTTAACGATTTTCTCATTTGTACATACCCTGATATTGAATTGGACCTGTATCCCTTTTCTGCTATCAGATGTGTTTGACACTGGTCAGCCTTCTAAGGTTACATCAGAGCTGAGACTGACTGTAGGACAAGGACTCCAAGAACGTGAACACTCCAGCTGCCCCACTTCTGTCCTCTTCTTTGTCTTTCATGGGGCTAGTGTTCTGGGTCAGTTGCTGCTTTCATTATTTTAGTCTTTTTCTTTTGACGTGTTATTATAACCACACTGTTTGTTTTCTGTTAATTGTTGTTTTGGGTTTGTTCTCAATTTCATTTATTCATTGCTATATTCCTTTTTTGCCATATTCAGTGTGTTCCATATTATTTCACTCACTGTTCACTTACTCTCTATGCTGTTATGTTGCTGATTTTCAGATGCAAACCAGGAACTGTCAACAAAGACATCAGATGTGGTTACATTCCGAGGTGCTTTTGAAAGTGTTGTGAGGCAGTATTATCCCTCGCTGTTGGGTCGTGTGGCCCATCGACTTGTCCCCTGCCCTCCTATTTGTGCTGAAGCCCTTGCTGTCTTTACCAGGTGCTCTTTTATTTGCATCATTGTTGACTCCAACAAATTCTTAACAAGAGAATTGATAAAATAACATTGACTCATGAAATTTTGGAGGACAGGAGGCTTTCATGCAGCTCCAAGCTGCTCCTTTTGATGGAGAATGTCTTTTTTGAGAATAACATTGCAGTTCATGCTGTCATGAAAAATTGCTCAGAATAAATTAGCCCAACACCCAGCATACTATTCATTTGAAAAGTAACCAAACTGAATTGTGAAAGGCTTGGTTTTTATGTTTGCAGCTTGAGCCCATACAGTTTTGATGCATATCCATCTCAAGGAGATGGAGGGTTCCCAGTGACTCATGACTCAGTCCCCATTGGAGCCATTCCACTCTTCGCAATCACTTCACCAGACTACTGGGATTCTGTCAGCAAGACAATCACTCTTGCCAATCAAGTCTACCAAGACTTTCTCAAATCTGAAGAAGGTGTTGGCTTCAATGGCCACATCAGCATAATTGGTCTGTTGAGTTTCCCACCCCTCTAGCATTCTCAAAGAGCATCTTTTGTACCGAGACACAAGTGTGAATAGATATTGATGAATGAGGTTCTTAGATGTTTCTGATTTGGTCAAGTTCACTTGCAAGTTGCCTCTGGAACACAATTGAAAGAATGTATCCATCATTCTATGTAGCCTAACTCAGAACTATAGCAAGCAAATAGAGGTAAATAAGTGCAGGATCATTTGATAATTCATTGAATCCTAGAATATTTTAATCAATCAAGTGCATGTATGAGTTTCCCCTTCTCCATAAAGGCCAAACTCTCTTTTATCTACCACAAGTAAAAGGGATTAAGCAAAAAATTTGAGTGACAAAAGTATGCTATGGATGTGTCCTGTGTCTTGACAAAGCATCTCTTGGTAGGTGACTCAGTTGGGTCATTGCTCGCCTACGACGCACTCTGTGCAGGATTTGGAGGTACTGGAACTGGAAGCAGTGAACACTTGGGTCCTGATCCCTCCTCATCTCCTGCTGGCAAAAGTCCCCTCATTGCAGTTGGCAATGAGGCACCCAAAGTCGATTGTAGGAGCTCTTCTGTTTGCATCTTTACAGAATTTGTGTCTTGATTCTGATGCATTCTATTTCCTTTGGCAGCATTGTCCCTCCCAAAGCGAAACGCCCAGAAGTCTTTATCAGATGTGATAGTGGGGAATCAGGATCATCCATTAGGACATCCACCAGTGAAGGCCCAACTGTCTGCTCCCACACCCAGACGTACCTCCTCCATCTCAAGGTCTCACCTGGCTCCCATACCATTTTCTTGGATACAAGATCATTATCTGTCTTCTGCAGCTAGAGCTGAAAGAAAATGCATAAGAATTTGCTACATTGTCTGCAGAAGATTACTTGTGATGTTGAAACAATGTTTTGATGAAACATTATGCTTGGAAACATTATTAAGATATTAGATGTGCACCCATTAGCATGGAAAGTATTTTCGAAGTCCATAATTGCTGTAAAAAGTGAGCTAATAAGAAAATTCTGTTTTTCCTCTCACTGAACCACGAAAAAGGTATTAATGAGTGTAAGAATGGTGTTACCCCTTTTTAGTACGGACAGCCAACTGGGACGACTGGACTTCGAAGTGACCGACTTTTTCCTGTTTGGATCTCCGCTAGCAGGAGTTCTGGCCTATCGGAAGATGCAGTTCAGTGAGGACCGCACCTGTAGGCTTTTCCTCTTTCACCTTTTTAGGGTTGTTCAGGCACATTTGGACCTAGCAGACAGGTGTTAGCTAAATTCAATATCAGTTTCACAGTAATGGAATAAGAAAATCATTAAGCTTATGAAGTTCTTTCTGTCATTATTTTAAAAGTTCCAAATTCCAAAAGAGAGGTCCAAATGTCCTCACTGAACACCATAGAGATTTTGATTTAGTAAAAAATGGTAATGGCCTCAACGAATGCATATTTCAGGTCCTCCACAGCGCCCTGCTGTGCAACAGGTGTACAATATGTTCCATGCAATCAATCCATTGGCTGGGCGACTTGAGCCGTTGCTGTCAACCCGGTTTGCCTTCATTCCCCCTGTCAGTGTCCCTCGCTATCAAAAGCATCCATTAGGCGATGGTTTCTCCTATCACCTTTGTGAGTGCTGTGGCCCAGTTTTCCCACTTTGCAAAATGAACAATTTGAATTCATTTTAACTTAGACTTTTGCAATGTCAGGAAACAATGTACTGTTTTCACTTCACTCTCGGCAAAACTGAGGAAAATGATAGCCATGCACCATCACATTAGATTGGCTAAGGCCAGAATTTTGAGTTGAGTTTAGCTAAACAAAATTTTGGGTTGAGTGGGACTCCAGTGTTGAGAAGTTACCACTACTCCAACATGACCCTGAATCATGCACGCTACATGTTAGTGATTACCTTCCCTTAACAGATGTTGGCAGCTGTTACTTCATGGTTATTATAAAAGGAATAGGCCAACTCTCTCCTCGGGATGGGAAATGAAAAAGATACATCTGCTACAGACTGCTCGTCTCTCCTTATGAGCATCTATGAGCCTAAATTCCAACTGAGCATTCGTTGCTTCTTTTAAGCTATTCAACCAGCAATCCCGACTTACAAAATTCTTGGGCTCTTATAGATTTGGATGCTTTGGAATGTTACTTCCATGGAATTGCAGGTATTACATGAATTTGACCATGGCAAGTTTTGTGAGCAATAGTTAAGTTGACTAAATCCTAATTTCCAATTCAATTTTTAAACACAACTTATCAAAATTCCTGGTTGAATAGGCCTCAGACTTCATCCTTGCAACCTTTGGTTTGAACTATAGCTCCTAATAAAAATAAATAAATTAGCATTAATAAACCCTTCTGCTGTTTGCCCAGGCACATATTTGAGCTCTTGTAGTGGTAACCTGAGTATGTTCTCGTGCTCTGTCCATTCACAGTTTCTCAGTTATTTCACTGCTATTTATGCATGTAACCTCTGTCTTCATTAGTTTTCATGAAATGCCTTTTTTTGCATAAACCATTGTTTTTTAGGTAAACAGTCCCAATTTTTTTTAATAACAATTGGGATGGTGGATATTTTTGCATAACGTAATGTTGTGACTGCTGCCTACTTGCAGATGGATGGCATACTCATCCCACACATGGATTCATATTTGCCTCCTATTCTGAATTTTTTGTGGCTTGATTTTTTTAATAATAATGAATTTCTCATATGAGAATGATACAATTTTATTCATAATCTATGATTCTGTCTACCTTTTTCCTTTTCAATTTCATATTATTCCCAATGAAGCATAAACCATTTGACAGAGATCCTGATGCTTGTTCTAATAATTTATAAAATATGCGAACTATTAATTCAGTAATTAAATAGCTAGGATTAAATTCAGAAAAAAAAAACAGAAAGAGAGAGGTAAGCATGCCTAATGTGTTGTTACAGAGAGGAAAATGATAGTGATAAAGGCAAAGAAGACATAACTTCACATTTTCAAATGTAAATTTTGTGCAAGAACAAGTCTCAGATTCCACAGTCTGAGTGCAAAAGGCATCTCTTTGGCATGAGAGGGAGTGAAGCAGAAAATGTTTTTAGCTTGAGAGAAAAACTGTTTGAGAGATTCTCTATTCCTCTTTGTTATATGCAAATAAGCATGCATTGTCCTGGCAGACCTTTAATTCTGCTCTATATTAATTGTAAAATGAAAATATGTGAACTGCTCAGATATATCACTGCAAAAACAAATGAATCTTCATTAGGGATAAAGCTTACAAAGTGGTATGTACATATCACAAATGGTGATCTCCCCCCAGCAAAGTTATAGTGATATGGTGAATCATCTCATTTAAAAATTAGGCTGAGAAATAGTGGGATTGTAGGAATATCCATAATTGTACAACCTCCCACCGAGGACTAGCCCCATAATTAATGTTTTTGGTGCCAGTCAGTTGCTGTTTCAAAGTGTTTAAAAACCTGTCATGATTATGTTTTTATACACTTCATAGTGGACTGTATCCAAGGAAATTTGGCCCTCTTCCGCGAGACAGAAGGAAGCCCTGTTGCACCTGTGACACACCGAAGGCGGATCTCAGAACTGACCTGCAGTCATCATCCTGCCTCTTCTGCTCCAGAGCCTCCCATTCCCATCTCCACTGTCACTAAATGTGAGCCAGTTTTGCTTTTCATATCCCCATATCCATCTATTGCTTTAGGTGTGAAATACAAATTATTATAGAGCTATTCAGGCATTTTTTCCCATCAGGATTCCCCAAAAGCCTGCCTGGAAAAAGAGAATGTCAGCAGCATTCTCTTCAAATATTGTACTGAAAAAGAGAATGAATAAAAGAAAAAGATCCATCATGAGCTTAAAGCAACAATGAATAAAGAAATATTTTTTAGCAATTGAAAAATCCTTTCCTGTATATGATGAATCATAGTGGGGGGAGTTGTAGCCTCTTTTCTGTATCTGATAGTCATGTGAGAGGATTGACTGTTTAAGATCTGAATGGCTTCAGTTTCTACAAATAACTGAAATAGTGAAAATGCAGTATGTTTGCTCTCATATATTAGGTGAATTGTGATTTTTTAATTGTTGAACTTGAAAGCAGAATGTACATGTAGACTTGGCTGCAACTTAAATAGATGTTGAAGCCTATGTAGAAGGAAAACTGCAAAGGTTTGGTATAATATCTTACTCGTGTGTGAATGGATAGTGACGGGAAAGTGGTGGGGATTGAAGAGGCTAGACTATGCCCTGTACTGTCCTGAAGGCCTGGCTAACTTCCCACCGCACTCCTTGCCGCATCTCCTCCATGCTTCCTACTGGGAATCCCAGGATGTCATTGCCTTCATCATCCGACAGGTATGTTCCACCCATTTAACTCCTAAACCAGGCATGACCTGTCTTCTGTAGTCTTCCCTGGCTAGTGTAATTAATTAAATCAACCCCACCATCAACCAATTATGATTAGGGCTGCACCAATTCTTAGACCGAACACCACACCCTGGTCAATTCAGGCATTTTCCATGAAACCACCTAAACCAATTTTTGGGCCCTCCACTTTTCTGGGTTTTTTTAATTTGATTTTTGTACACACAACATACATCACATCTTTCATCCCTACTTCAGTTTCTTGGCATTTCATTACAAACCGAGGAACTACAAGTAGATGGTGGCAGATGCAATCTACACATATTCTGGGGAACAGAACTCAAAACTTTCTAAGCTTAATCTGATTTTGGATTGAATTCGCTGATAGTGACATCTTCCACATGAGTGGTTTTGTGGATAATCTGATTAACCCTCCTATGACCAAGGTATTTTACAATCACAAACAACCAAGTGTGTAATAGTTTCCCCATGCTAAGTCATCAAGACATACCTTTGGAGAAAGTTTTTTTGTTGATTGAACATTAACTCCTTAGTAGCATCAACCATGTGTAAGCATCATCTGATTTTATAAGTGCTCTGTAGCTTGCAACAACAGCTTATGAATGTAAGTCTCCTTATATAAGATATAAAATAAATCCATTCTTGTCAATGTGTATTGAAATATATCACTTCAGTGATTTGTAAAAAATTTTTACAATAAAATTGATTTTTTTCTTAATTCTTCAAAAATCCATCAAGATGAGAAAATTAGTAACCTGGAAAGAGGTTATATATTAAGTCCTAAGTTATAATGATTCTGATTCATAGAGGTATTGCAAAAAAATTGTCCTCTGGGTAAAGCCATTACCCCTTTCGGTCATAGAAGTGTTAAGTGGATCCACTGGAAGTTTTATTTTCCATCCTTCACTAAAAAGGGTGTAAAAGCATGTGGCCAGAAGCAAGATGCCATCAGGAGTGCAACTTCCTGCAAAATGGCTCTGGACAATGGAGCATGTGCAAGAGGCAACTGTATTCCCATGGAATCCTCTAAGATGCCCTTGGTATTAATTTTTTCTTAAGAAAATTCTTAAATCATGAATAGTCCTGGTCCCATTGAATGGGCAGAGTCCTAATGTTAAAATTAAGCCTAGATCTCTAGATGCAGCCTTTTTGTGTGTAGCATGAAGGGTCTGTGCTGAATGTCAGTTGGGCTTGGCCTGTCATACAAGTTCAATATGACCCATCCTAACCTAGGTCTTTGCGTTCTTGTTCTTTTCTTCAATTTTAGTCATGTGGAATGTGAAAGCAGCACTGTTTCATACAGATTTGTTTTCAGAAAATTAAATTCTGACAAATGCCCCAAACCAGAAGTGATGGGAATCTCATCTTCCTCTTGTGAAGAATTCAATTTGTGAAAATAGAATCTGATATTAATATGACTGGAGTCTTGTAGTTTGGAGTCCAATTTGTTTTGATTTTTGGTGATTTTGGAGAAACATAATTTCAATCAACATGTGGTTTTTTATTTTGTACTATCAGTTCAATATTCATATAGAACTGATGCACCTCACTCTTGTTAATATCATCTTGATGACACTAGCTCTGCAAAAATGACCTATCCTATACACAAGCACAAAGACGAGTATCAGTATCAGAGATCTTTCAAGAACAGATGTCAGGAATCACCATATCAGGCAAATTTTCATATCGGCACAGCACCAATTATGATACAACTTTTCCAGTGAATCTCACTCCTCATTTGTGTTGTGCCACCTTGTCAGGTGTTGCAGACAGCAGCAGGATTGGCCTCCCCAGATGAAAAGGATGTTCAGGGATTCTGTCCTTCACAACCTAGGGAAAAATGGAGGCGAAAGCGAACTTCCGTCAAACTCAGGGTCAGTCTGAATGTTTTCATTTATTGTCATGTTGGCAATATTATTAATAGTGTATGTTCAGAGCAGGAAAAAGCCATATTGTATATAGCATCATGATCAGATTGGTAAGTTTTATGTTTAATGGCATTTTCTTGGTGCACCTACCATAACTGTGACATGTTCTTGGTACACTTACCATAACTGTGATGTAACCACAAAGTCTGTGAGGTCTACAGGTCTATGAGAAGGCTTTATAGGTATTTCTGAAATGGTCAGTTTCCCTTGGAGTCGACCAATAACCTATATTCTCCATCACTCAGTTAATTTCACTTTTCATGCTTCAGTTCCTTCATTTGCTTTTGTCTTGGAAAAAGACAGACCCTAGCATATAGAGATTGTCATGATCAGCAATTCCACTTCTATATTTTCAGACATTAACTCTTCAAATTTCTGCTCAAATCTTATGGTTGCCCAAGGTCATTTGATTTACTTTTTTTTGCAGAACATGAGTGCCAACCACCGAGCCAATGATGTGATTGTGGGTGAGGGGATGCCCCAGGTTATTTCTGCCCGGTTCATGTACGGACCACTGGACATGGTGGCACTGTCAGGGGAGAAGGTGGACCTCTACTGCATGACAGATCCAAAGACCGGGGAATGGGTGCTCCTTGACACCCTCACCACAGACAAGACTGGCCGTGTCACTTACACCATTTCACCTCTAAAGGCCCTCACTTTTGGCATCTATCCTGTCAAAATGGTTGTCAGGTAAACCTCTCTTTCCGTCTGACTTGTTGGGAGTAGTTTTACATTGATGCCAATATTTTAGATTGCATTACTTCCAAACTTATAGAACTACCTTCTCAGGACTTAAATAATGTTGAAATTTCAGATAATTTTTTTTCTCATTATTTTAGGGTGACAGGGCACTTACCAATGAAAGTTACTTTTTTCATGGTTTTTTTTTGCATTAAATGTTTAATTCTTACTGTTTAGCTATTTACTTCCTACATGCAGGCACCCTAACTTAGATTGTGAAAACCTCAGAAACAATTTTTATTTTGGATTACTCATTGGGATTCCACTCCTGGAAGGTTTAATAGTATAGGTATTGAGAGCATACTTCCTGAGCATATTCTTGGAAATTATTTGGATTAAATATACAAATGGAAGACTGACTTTCTTATACCTTTCAGAAGGGTGTCATAGATTGATCAGAGGAGATTTTTCTTTCACAGAGGTGATCATACAGGCATGGACTTTCACCTTGCTGTCATTCCACCAAAAACGGAGTGTGTGGTGTTCAGCATAGATGGGTCATTCACTGCCAGCGTCTCAGTGACGGGCAGGGACCCCAAGGTCCGACCCGGAGCTGTTGATGTTGTGAGGTCTGTTTTATTCCATGGAGAGCTTTTCAAAGGGAGTTGAGGGAAGGATTTTCATAATCACTTGGCACTGTTTTAGGCACTGGCAAGAGATGGGGTACCTTATAGTGTATGTGACGGCACGGCCAGACATGCAGCAGCGTTTTGTCATATCTTGGCTGGCCCAACATAACTTCCCCCATGGAATGGTCTCCTTTGCTGATGGCCTTTCCACTGATTTCCTTGCTCATAAGGTTCATTATCTCAAGCATCTCATCCAGGTCAGTGGCTGCAAGCCCACATTTTGATGTACTTCCCCTCCTGCATGCAGGGCTGCCCAGAGGTTTCCAGAGGCCAAGGGGCATAACTAAACCAGAGGCCCCTTTTGGGGGCCCCCTTGATACACAAGACCCAGGGCAGATTGTCCCCAATGCAATTCCTCCCCCCTCTGGGTGGCCCTGCCTGCATGCATGGCCACTTTCAGCATCAGATTGCCTGAACTAATTACTAACAACTTCACCAACTAGGGACTTCTGTCCCTAGTTGGTGAAGTTGTTAGTAATTTCAAGAGAACAAGAGGTAGCAGATTCGTGGCTGCAGATGAAGAACTTTAACTGATGGTTTCGATAACTGCTCAGTGATATGGCACAAATCTCAAGAACAGAAATGTTATTAATGGATCTTGGCTATTCAGGATTTCAGTTACAATCATGCTATTATTTGGCTTGTAAATTAAGCTGAGGAGGCTTATTAATTTCCTTGTATCATGTGATTTGTGGTAACATCACAAAAGCCATACATCTTCAGCAAAAAAGTCAGCATTTAGCTTCTCCTCTCTAGCTGATGCATGCATCTTCCCAGTGCGTTGAAATAAAAAGTCTTATCCAAGGAATATTGTTTTCACTTGTTAGTTCACTCCATGTCCAAGACAGTCATACTTCTATATGATAGTAATCTCTAGCATTTGAAATTTCAACTAACAATCAAATGTCTGTGAATATCTTTGTTGCAGTTTTTTGCTTGTTTACTCTGTTAGTTGTTGGGTGTTGAAGTTACCTGAACTTCATTGGCAGAGTGATTATTGCCACACATGCTGATGTGTGACTTCATGTGTTAGATGCCCTTAAACTGCTCTTGGATGGACAATATGATATTTAAAAAAATTGGAGATGAATTGAAAAAACAAGAAGGGGAACTATGCATTTCATTTGTTCTATTCATTGTGTGGGTATGTTGCAGGAGGTAGGTGTGGTGATCCATTGTGCATATGGGAGCAGCAAGGACATAGGGGTTTATGCTTCTCTTGGACTTGAGCCGAGCCAGATCTACATTGTCGGGAAGACATCTCGCAAGCACTATTCCTCTGCTATTGTATGTCCCATTTCCTTCCCATTTCAAAGAGGAGAAAGGTAGAGCACTGACAAGCAAGATTATTGCACATGAATGCATTTTGTGCATGGAGGTGTTAATGGAGGGGTATGCAGCACACCTGAGTGAGCTGACAGCACCAGGTGGGTCTCGACCTGCACGGGGTAACGCAAGGATGGTCATCCCCCGTGGGTTCTTCAGTCTCCCTGGCCAGGGTGTCACCCTTCAACGGCGCTTGTGAGAGGCTCTTGTCTTTTCCCTTCCATCTGCTTGCATGGCACAAAATTTTCTTTTTCATTGCCTTCAACTGTGTTTCCTTACTTCACACAACTATTGTCTTCACCATCATGTCTGTGCATGCCAATAATTCTCAGCCTGGCACTCTAGTCTTGACCATTGACCATGTGGTTGTGACATGCATAGTTTTTGCAAATCACTACCTTGATTATGCTTGTTTCTGTACAAGCTAGTTTTTATGAAGGGCAAAATATTGCCTTTGATGTACATTTTTTTTTCTTCAAAAGAATGGAAAACATTTTACCAGAAACTACAATTGGTCTATGTACTCTGGGTTGAGATGGTTACCCTTGAAGGTGCTTGAGAACTACCAGTGTCTCCATGGAGGAAAAGGTTGAGAACCCCTAATGTACATTTTCACCCCATTTCATTCTCTGTCTCCTCAGGACACAGGAATTTCATCCTTAATGTTGTGGAAGTTCAATCTTAAAGCCTTTCACTAAAAAAATAGCTCAATAGAAATGGAAATTCTGGATTTTCCTCATTTGATCTGATAACACACTGAGTTCTTTTGAAATTCATTCACTCTTGGCTTCATCTTATACTGGTGGAAACTTAGAGTAAAAACCAAGTCAATAAATCAAGTCAAGTGAAATTGAATGAAACCAATGCATATGCCATGACATCATTGTAGTACCCTTGTGGAATGGACTTCTAAGTTTAAATCCTTCTGATTTTCTGGATGCTGTAGGTCAAGCAAGAAGGCATCAATGTCAAGTGGACGGGGTTCATCTCGGGGCAAGAAATTGACACCATTCTGATCTCCCTCTTCCTATCCCTCTATATGCAAGTACAAATTTCCCTCGGCCTTCAGCCCTTCCCGGTTCTGCATATTTGTCATGTCATATTTGTCTGAGGAAACATAATTGCTCAAGCCTGCCCCAGTCATCACATCTCTGGGGCACTGTTTAGCCCCACCCATGTCGTGTGCCAAATTCGGTTCTGTGTGTTCCTTTGGAAAAAGGCAAGGAAAGTGATACCTTAACCTCAATGATCACCGTCGTTGCTTTCCCTCGATCGTCCCTGTTCCTCCTTGTATGGCCGACCTGGTGACGACCTGTGAATCTGCAAATCCTCTCAACCAATCTGTGATCCCTTTCATCAAAGAGAGAAGCTTCAAGTCCAAAAACCCAGTGGGACTGGGCGTCTTCTGGCAGGACCAGTGACGTCTCTCTTTCCCCCTTGCCGTCGGTATGAGTGCTTTGAAAATCCATGGAAAATTTGTGTAAATTTCAGATGGAGTTTGGTATCACCCTTTAAACATTCCAAAGACCTTTGAAGTGAAGGGCAGTGCAAGATAGGGATACGTATACAATTTCTCGTGTTGTGATCAGGGCCGGATTAAGGTTATGAGGGGCCTAAGGCTAATGGGAGGGAAGGGCCTAAGTATGAATTACATATTGCAAAAAAAATATGGAATGGAGGGCTTAAGGCTATAGCCTATGGGTTAATCCGGCCCTGATTGTGTTCAGAAACTCACAAAGCAGATTTTATGATAGAACAAGATATTGCATGGATGCCTTGGTCTCAAATCCAGTGCCAAACAATACAGAATCAATTCTTTGGTTGTAGTTCTGTGTGTTAATATTCCTGTTGTGTACTTAATTTTGTTACAAGTATTTATTTTTTGAAGTGTTATGAAAATATTTATCTTCAGTTACCATGATTTTTACACCAGTGATTTGAAAATGATTTTTAATGTTTAGCTGCTCAATTTAGCACTTTTTTTTCCTCCAGCTGGCACTCAAGACAGTGGTGTATTTTAAGACATGGACAGGTATTCTGCAGGAACCTGGTGTAAAATTTTCTGAAGTAGGTGTGTAAGAAGATTCAATTTGTCAATTCAAATTGGATAATGGGTATACCTTATATGATCGCAGAGGTGCAAACTTTTCTATTTATTAGGTTTCTATCAAAAATCATGATTGGCTTGCTCAGTCAGAAAGCATAATTGCAGCCAATCATTGCTGTTTTTATTTGCTGTAAGATTTCAGCAATATGGTGGATGATTCCAGTAGCACACTGCAGAATAATTCATTTTTCGATTGTTGCATTGCTAATGTGATTGAAGAGTAGGAAGAGAATGCCCATGGTAGAAACGGCAGGAAATCGAGTCACCGACTTGAAGATTGCTCTATTTTATCATCATATTAACCTGGTGCAAGTTGGTGGCTAGTGCCTCCGCATCTTGAGGTCAGGAGCATCGAATGAAGTAGGAGGAGAGAGTGAGAGCTTTATATATTCTGCCAATCTGAGCCTACAAAGCATCTCCCTTGTTCTACCTGAAGGCTTCCATTGTCGCCATTTCTGTCATTTAGCGTTTCGATGTTCCGGGCTCTTTGATAGCTTTTGGTACCGCACGTTAAGTACAAATTGGAATTCACAAATACGCCACTGAATTGAGGTTCAGCAGTTCCCGATCTTTTTGACGTAGCAAACCTTTTGTTTTCCTTTTTGTAGACTCCACGACCCCTCCGAAAGATTGTTAGCCGATACGAAAGAATACATGTGGATATACACAATGTATGGCAAAAATTAATCCATTTGTCGGTAATCGCTGGTCTAGTTGTTAGACAATCAGTACAGTTGTGATAGGCTCACGTACCGTAAACATGAATTAAAACGTCATCGTGGATGAAACGGCGAACTCGGGTTGCTTGTGGAAAAACCTTTGGTGGCTTGCTATGTTGATTCCCTTTCATTCCTTTGGAGCTTCATTCCCTCCAGTCCGAATAAAAGTGCTCCCCCAACAATCCATTCTGTTTCATTTTTAATTTCAAAAATGAATAAAACGATACAGGCGAACAATTGAAGGAAAATGCCTCTGTTCTACCGTCCGAAGAACGATAAGTGTGCATCCTTACCTATTGCTGTAATTAATTTTCACAATTGGGAACTTGCTTTGGTTTGAAAGTCGACACCAAGAGGTGGAGGACAGCAGATGTTGCGAAAGTACGGATCGGAACGAGGCTGAAGAGTTTGGAAGTCGACGCTTCTTCCTCGTAGCGTCCGATTGGATCCTCGGGTCGTGAAATCCATGTACCATATTTGTACGGCTCGTCGATTCCGTTTTTTTTTTCCAACTCCTGGTGGATTCTCGAAGAAATGCAAAATGCGACTAATGGCACCAGATCGGCAATGCCTCTGGGATCCTCGTTCGACAACGTATTTTTTTAAAGGGGAATTCTGAGTTTTTCCGATCCTCCTACTTTGCTGAAGAGTAAATCTGTGTGCTACTTCTTGAATCTTTTTAGAAATTTTAAGGGGAGAGGCGCCATCGAGTGTGACCAACAATCGGAAAGATGGACGAATGATTCCGTCGTTTGTCCGATCCCAAAATCGAGACGACGAAACTGGGATTCTTTGTTTTTACCTCCTGGTTTCCCATGCCATCCATCGGGTTTCAAATTTCAAACGTCGACGGGAATTTGATTGGATTTCGCCGCGCCCATCGGATCCCGCTAACACTGCAGACGATCGGGCACCATTTATGGCTTCTTAAATTGCTCTCGCTTCCAACGATTGCTTCTCTCGAGCTTCTGGATTTCAATGAATCTTGCAAGTCGTGTGGTACCGGTTGTGGTGCCTGCGTGAAACAGGTATCACAACCCCGACCTCCTCTGTGTATCGTAGCCGTAAAAATTCAGTTGTACCATCCGTCATCAGTATGTCCTTTCCTCTCAATAAAAAAAGGACCTCCATGGAGCAATTCGTTTCGCAATACCCCCCCCCCCCCCAAACTCAGCAAAATTGGTGCGCCTGTGTCGTCATGCAGACTCAGGTGAAGGACCTTTCGACTGCTGCCACTGATAGCCAGGAAAATTGGATGGCGACCTCGTGCCCACGCGGTTAAATGTATGAAGACTCCAGAGAAAACAGACGGAATTGCCAAGCCGGAAAGCTTTCGATACCGTTCCTCACAAGAGGTTGCGGGTTAAACTGGAGCCGCACGGGATCCAGGGTAGGACGAGTGAGTGGATCAGTAGCTGGTTGGCAGGACGAGAGCAACGGGTGATGATAAATGGGGAAGCGTCGGAGGAGGTCGGAGTCGCAAGCGGTGTCCCTCAAGGCT